AGTCTTGTGGAAAAATGAATGGGCCAGGCGGAGGGTAGATTGAGGGGCCCTGTGGTGGTATTTGCTGATACAGTGGAGGCACCAGATTGTACTGTTGCAGTGCTGGGTGATACTATGGAGGAGCAAGGTCGTACCGGAGTGGCTCGGGATCCTCTCGTTGGAGTGGTGGCTCAGCCTGTGGTAGTAGGGGAGGGTCAGGTAGCTTCTTCCTCTCCTCTCGACCCTGCTGGGCAGCAATGAGTCTCTCTAGTATCTCAAATATCCTGTTAACGTCCTCCCTAAGCGAACCATCCCGGGCTGCTCGGTTTAGTGAGGGTCTTCCTCTTCTCATCTCTCTGTACCTGCATTTCATAAGAAAATGTTGAGTGATAATTCATTGGTTTGTGTTTCTCTAAATATTATTATGTAAGGGACGGGTCCGAGGAACGCGGCTCTAATACCAACTGTAATGACCCCGAAAATCCAAAAGAAAATTTATAATAATTTAAGTGCAGAAGCGAAGTAAAAAGTTAAGGTTTATATCCCTTACACAATAACTTAAAAGTACTAAACAAACATCACGGAATGAATTCTCTAAAAGAAACACGAGAAATGAGAAAAGCAAAGAAAAATATAAAGTATCTAGCATCTACTCACAGTCTTCTTGCGGATCGGACTCGGAAATCAGGTCATCTTGATCCGAAATAGTTGAATAATGAATGAGCTACACTAGACCAGTAAGGACATCACACTATATCCCGTCACAGAAGTAAAGGTTGGTAGAAAATTAAAATAACCAATGGAGCAGTAGATTTAAACCAATACATTTATCTAAAATAAAATCATTTACCCTTTTACTTACCATTAGGGAATTCATGAAAACAAATTATAGAAGCAATAATATCATATAGATCATAATTTCATGTATAATCAACCATCACGGTACATATTATAAATTCATATCCATTAATAATAGACGAACTCATAACCGTTTCTCGTTTCACCAACCTACTAATATCCATGGGGATCCATAGGGGTGTCCCCGCTACACGTGAACTATTTTCCTTAACAATCTTAATTACAGAGCCGTCCCCATACCCCGTCCGGTATGAAAGTGAAGCGGGCCGTCCTCATACCCCGTCTGGTATGAGCACCAAATTACCAAGTCTCTATACTCCGTCCGGTATTAGACAACGTTCACGATGGGGTCCTTATGAAGCCGGTCCGTTCACCATCTCCCAAGATATTTAGTGAGGCTGTCAACTTACCTGTTTATTATATCACACCCCTTTCCTATTTTCCTTAGTCTCCGTTACCAAATCAAACACAATCACATAAATAATGAACATGCACCCGGTAATGCAATCATATCTTAAATCCCAAAATCACACAATGGTCAAGTAAAATAGTAATACATGCATTTAAAATCCTAAAGCAGATACCATCATGCATTTAAACTGTAAAATAAATCAACGTATAAAAATATCTGATTCGGGCTCCATTAGCAATCCGTAATTAATTATGCATAACTATTTAATTTGTACAAAGACCGTATTATTATTTATTTGAACTTCAATTCTATAATAAGAAATAGGGTGAGAGGTCCTTACTTGATTTGACGCTAAAAAGCTAAATGGCTTACTGCGCCTACGGGGCGGTCCCTAGGTTCTCTAAATTTTTCTTCGGGAACTGAAACGTGCTCACGGTGCCTACAAATGTCCCAAATAATAA